ATATATATATATATATATATATTCACCTCACCATGGATGGATGATGCCCAGTGAATATTTTTGAATTAAACATAATTCACAGGCCCTCAATAAACAAATTCAATATAGCACAAGAGTTTTTCATAAAATTTGTCAGTCTAGTTTTTTTTTTTAGTCAAATTGTTTTGTTTCCTTTTTATTTATTTAATCACTGGGTGAGGTCAAGTTTCGCTAATCTGCTTCTTATCCTATGTAAAAAGATTGCATAATCGGAAGATTATCTAAAACCTATTGTAAATAAAAAATCAGCAGATAAATTATGTGTATTATATAATTGTCTAGTCTAATTTTTGCAATTTTTGTTTTCAAATTCAATCTAGATTGAGTTACTGCTTCAATGAATAACTGTGACAACTGTAGACAATTAACTATTCTACTATTAAAGTTATTTTAAGGGGGGGGGGTACAAGATTTGTGACAGTTTGTGACGGGGGGAGGGGGTTGAATGGTAAAAAATAGCGTGACGTACTTTATGGACGGCCCCTAGGCTTTATCTATTTGATTTTAATTTTTACTAGCTTGTGTAAACAATTTCCGCCAATTACCCAAAGGTTTAATGATCTAAAAACCATGCTTATCTTTCATAATTGGAATCAATCTGCCAAGTCACTGAAAACGAAATGATAAACACCAGAGGCGCCTAAGACGCGTGCCGAATAGCAAACGTGCAGCGGGGCAGCCATGATCACTAATGATCTGGTCGCGAGCAGTGGCGTAGCAAGGGCTATTGCCGCCGGGGCAGCAGAGGCGTAGCGAGGGTGTTTGGCGCCCGGGGACATCTGTCCCCCTGCCCCCCTCCTCGCTACGCCTCTGTGGGGGCAGACCCTGAATTTTTTTTCGACAGCGACGGCTCAGAGTTTACAGATACTCCTTAACTTGTTTTTAAAAAAAATATAACTTAAAGTTATTGTAACGGATATAATTTCACCGAAGTCTATAGTCTATTTCTTTTGAATTTCACAAAAACGATCAAATTTATTAAAATATAAATTAAGTTTTTAAGTGCACGTTTGGACTGGCTGACTGGCTATCAATAAATCACATTTTATGGTTCTATATCTTTCTATTTGTTCACACCAGCTGCATTCTTTGGTGGCACATTTCTCCCGACTCTCCCCTACTCTTCTATGGCATCATTTAAAGTACATCTAAATCTCTTATCGGTGTAAGCACACAAATTTTAATGAAGCTTTTAAAATGTCACCACGTCGTACACCAAAAAATGTATAGCGTAAAACTGGCATCAATTACAAATTTTAATATTCTTGGGCAATCGTTTCGAACCGGCGGGATGTCATGGCACCCTGCTTATCCCGGGAAAGAAGTTTTTTCTCTCAGGATAAAATTAATTTAATGAAAAATATATTTTAAACTGAATTTAAATATAAAAGAGTGGATTTTACATATTGTTTATTGGTATTGTCTATTAATGAATGAAAAAAATGATGGAGAACCGTATGCCCTTTGACATAGACACAATGAAAACTTCAACAAATCCTGCAATGTGGAACGCCTAAAATAAAGAGCACAACGTCACTCAAGACATTGACTGCATCTTGGTCTATTTCCAGTCGTCCTGATTATGTCTTGCCATTGTAACAAGTAGGCAAGGATGAGAGAGTGGGGCTGACGCATTGAGCAAGTCTCCCTCACAAAATATATAGCTCAGGTCAAGGTCACTACTCCAGACATCGCACGTCTTTTTCCAATGCCAGTTTTATGTTTGAGGCTCACGTGTTAGATCTTCCTCATCTGCTCACTTGTTAGTTCTTCATCTGCTGACGTGTTAGTTCTTCCTCATCTGCTCACGTGTTAGCTCTTCATCTGCTCACTTGTTAGTTCTTCATCTGATCACTTGTTAGTTCTTCCTCATCTTCTCACTTATTAGTTCTTCATCTGCTCACTTGTTAGTTCTTCCTAATCTGCTCACTTGTTAGTTCTTCCTAATCTGCTCACTTGTTAGTTCTTCCTCATCTTCTCACTTGTTAGTTCTTCCTCATCTTCTCACTTGTTAGTTCTTCCTAATCTGCTCAATTGTTAGTTCTTCCTCATCTTCTCACTTGTTAGTTCTTCCTAATCTGCTCACTTGTTAGTTCTTCCTCATCTTCTCACTTGTTAGTTCTTCATCTGCTCACTTGTTAGTTCTTCCTAATCTGCTCAATTGTTAGTTCTTCCTCATCTTCTCACTTGTTAGTTCTTCCTAATCTGCTCACTTGTTAGTTCTTCCTCATCTTCTCACTTGTTAGTTCTTCATCTGCTCACGTGTTAGTTCTTCCTAATCTGCTCACTTGTTAGTTCTTCCTCATCTTCTCACTTGTTAGTTCTTCATCTGCTTACTTGTTAGTTCTTCCTCATCTTCTCACGTGTTAGTTCTTCATCTGCTCACGTGTTAGTTCTTCATCTCCTCACGTGTTAGTTCTTCATCTGCTCACGTGTTAGTTCTTCATCTGCTCACGTGTTAGTTCTTCCTCATCTGCTCAAGTGTTAGTTCTTCATCTGCTCACTTGTTAGTTCTTCCTCATCTGCTCACTTGTTAGTTCTTCCTGATCTGCTCACTTGTTAGTTCTTCCTGATCTGCTCACTTGATAGTTCTTCCTCATTTGCTCACGTGTTAGTTCTTCATATGCGCACGTGTTAGTTCTTCCTCATCTGCTCACGTGTTATTTCTTCATATGCTCACGTGTTAGTTCTTCCTCATCTGCTCACCTGTTAGTTCCTCTAATTCTGCTCACTTGTTAGTTCTTCCTCATCTGCTCACGTGCTATTTCTTCATCTGCTCACCTGTTAGTTCCTCTAATTATGCTCACCTGTTAGTTCTTCTACTTTGCTCACATGTTAGTTCTTCTACAGCTGCCCACGTGTTAGTTCTTCTACATCTGCTCAAGTGTTTGTTCTTCTATATCTGTTCACGTGTTAGTTCTTTTACCTCTGCTCACGCCCAAAGGGGAAAACAGTAAACATCGTTTACAAACAAGAGTTATTTTTCACATTTCTCGTTATTTTCTCCGTTCTTTGCCTTGGCTTTAATTCTTGAATTTAATTAAGATAACAGGAAAAGATATCGACATTTTGTATACTGCACTTTAAAAAACACACACACACATGTAGCCTACGCAATATTTATTAACAATAATCATCCACAGTCCCCTACCCCACCCGTAGTGAAACATGGGTGTAATTTTCTAGTAAATATATATTTAAAAACAAAATGCGATGGATGCTCTGAGGATAAATTATTTGGGTTTGAGTACCCCTATTGGAAAAGGTTATAAACCATTATCCTAGAAAATATATAAACAGAATGTAGCTGGCTACATATATATGTCAAGGAAACAGTATAAAGTCTTAGTCTGGCGACACATTTCAATCTTAAAAAGTTTGGCTAATTTCTGATGACCTTATTCCCAAATAAATATATTTACTATAATAGGCTAAACAATTTAATTGGAATCCTTTGGCTTCATAGAGTGCCTTTCTTTGAGTAATGAATTTTAAGAAAATTATTTTTCTACCTTTAAGTTTTAGTGCGCTTAAACTCGTCTTCGATAGTTAGACTTGAAAGAATTTTTTTGTATAATTTAATCTATTTTTTTCTCCACACTATTTAGACATGAAACAAAACTAAATATTATGCCAGATAAACATTTTAGTTTACCATTGGAGTACGACTGCAACAAAATGGCAGCCTCCAGGAATAAAGATTACCTTGTTTCTTTTCTCAATGAACATTTCAGCGACAAACGATCCTTAGAAAAGTTACAGACTTTAAGTGAAGAGTACAAAAAACAGTGTGAAATATTAGAAAGCAAGGTAGGCTTATTATTTATTATAGTTAGAAGAAAATGTGAATTTTGTAGCTAATACAGTCTTACGGCTTACGTCTTAGTCTTAGCGTCTTAGCTTATACTTATAATACTTAGACTTTAGTCGAGTATAGACGTCTTAGTCTTAGTAACTTAGTCTTAGACTAGACTGTGCCGTAAAATAAAATAAATAAAAAGATTAATATTAAATATTAATAATTAATATAATTAAATAAACAAAAGAACTGGAACTGAAAATAAAAGTTAAAAGGCAAAGGCCTCTAATTTTAGCCCACTGCCTGCCTCTACTCAGACTCAGAGCTTTGAGTTTGAGGTATTTCGTATGTTACAGTTATAGTTATAGTATAGTGTACTGTTTAGTATAAGTATAATATAATCAGTATATAAATATATTAATACAGTATTGTATTAGAAAAGAAAATGTGAAATTTACAATAAAAATTGAAAACTTAAAAACAAAATTAATTAATGAAAGAATTCTGCAATACTCTAACTACTACATATGTCTGATCATATGAGTCATATGCCTGAGCCTGATTTAATATTATTGTTATACATAATTAATTTTAATTATTATTAACAACACAATATGATTTGTGAGTGTGAAAAGCACAAACTCATTTTTTGGCTTTGCTTGGCCTTGTGATCCAACCAAAAGTGTTGAACTTTGCAGGTTCAGCCATAAGACTGATCATTTGATCATGCAGAATAATTTGAAAGAAGACTAGTCTATACACATTTAAAATAAGAATAAATAAGAAGACAAACTGGTATTGCTTACACGTTTTCATGTCTTTCATTTTCATGTTTCTGAAATAGTATGAAATGAAAATATTTTTATCGTGCTTGGCTTATTATTCTGCATTTGCATGCACTTCATTTACATCAACATATAACTACATGTTCAGTATTTTACAAATATACAAGTTCAATAACCCTGGGAGTCCCATTGCCTCAGTATGCTCTTGTCCCACTTAGCATATGCATATATCAGAATTCCTTGGAGTTTTTTTTAAACCCATCATAGCTTCACTGCCCATTTATATCAAAGATATTAACCATGCTTTGATGAAAACTTTTGGATCCGTCATCATCCCTCCTGAAAAGAAAGATAATCGATTTCTGCTTGATGTATGCTCTGTACATTTTCTCTATATACTTCGATCCATCATACTGATGGTCTTTTAGCTTAGAATTCTTTTTAGAACGTAAACCCCATCTGTATATATTAATGTTTGCAATTTTTTGGACTTTGCTAATTTTTAGTCCACTTAAAAGCTGATGTTTTAAAAATATTGTCAGTACACGCCTAGAGTATTAGAAGAATCTCCATTGAAAAAAAATCAACTTCATATGGCTTGGTCTTGAGATCTCGTTATCAGTGAGTGAGTGGTATTTGGCTTTAATATATATATTTATTTAAAAAACAATTATATTGCATCTATTCATGAATAATGTCTACTTATGCCATTTTCCAAGGAGCTGCTATGACCATCAACTATTGGATGACAAATATGGCATGTAACTTTTCAATTCAATGTAACTTTGCAGATGGCGATGGGGTTCGGCTTTTGATGGTTGCGAATAGAGGCTAATTTTTCTGCTAGTTCACATGTTTCGGAATCGAAGGAGCACTTGGTTCTCTTTCTTCACCCAGTTATTGTAATACTAATGGTTTATCCTTACACTTCATAACTCTCAATAATTAATTTTTTTAAATTCAGCTATCTTTAGCCTGCACTGAAATCCCTGCAGAAATCGACAAGGCCATTGCTGCTGCTGAATCAACATCAAAGAAAATTGTCAGTCTTGAAAAAAAACTTGAATCTGTTCGTCACAATGTTTTGGATCACACTCACTCTATCAAACCCATGGTTGGAGAGCTTGGTGCATTAGTTGATAGAGTCCAGGAAGTGCAAAGGTATGCCCACTACCTAAGTGCTTTGGGCAAGATTGAGGATGTAAGGTTAGTAATTAAGACTCTTTTTAAAAAAAAAAAAATTTCATAAAAATGTTTGAAAAATATGAATAAAAAAAATTATTTTGTTTCAGAAAAAAGTCATTGATTTTTTTTGTTTGTGATAATGAATTATTTTATTTTACAATATTTTTTTGATAACTATGTACATTATTTTTATATTAATACTCAAATTCAATCTGTTTCAGTTCAGTAAAAAAAAACAATTTAAAATAAGATGTTTGTACTCGGCATGTGTTCCACTTATATATATTTAAAAATATATTTAGTACATGACTGAATGCTTTTTTACTCCTATGAAAATAGATATGAGATCATTTAAAAAAAATTTTTTATGCAAATTTAAAAATATTTGTTGATTGTCAGATATCTAAACTTCACGTTCTCATTTCCTTCAAATAGCTCTCAAATTCAAGCATCACTGATGACAGAATCACTAAGTTCTGCTGTTGACAGCTTTAATGAATTGACAAGCCTCTATGAAGTACTTCAATCGTCTTCTTGTCATAACCTTCTTGTTTATGTCAAAGACACTATACTCTTTTGGAACAAAATACTCAGAGATCGAATAGCAATGTAAGAAATTCAGAACAATGTTATTTAAAATTCCTCATTACAAATTCAACTTACTGTGTTGGATTAAGTATAAAACTTATTATTCACATGTGTTGTAAATATTAGTTAAATAAATACAATTTAAACATTAATTTATATGCAATAAAGCCATCAATTATATTGAGACAAAAGAAAAATATATAACTAAAAATACATGAAATAAATTGTAATGTCACAAATTGTATTTATCCTTATAGAGAATTTGAAGAAGTTTTGAAAGTTTTGAGATGGCCACTTGTTGTGACAACCATAAAAGCACCTTCTGTGACCAATGTGAAGGAATTAAAGGACCGAATGGGGAAACTGTTTAAAAAGCTGTTAAATCTGCAGTTGCCGTATCCTTTCATTCCAAGCCGATCTTCTCCCCATGTGTTCAACGGGAGTAGCTAATTCTTAATTCATCAAACCATTTTTATTTGTAAAGTGTTGAAAGTCTTTTGAAAATTTATTATTTAACTAATAGTTGGAACAGGTTAGAAAAAATAATATGTCAGCATATGTTTTGTGCCATTCTGACCTTAACTGATTTAATTAGAGACACCATAAGCCTTGAGAATTCTGGGGTACATCCAATGTTACTGAAGATTGGTGGCATTAAACCATTGCTTCTTCCACTAGAGTTGATGCTTAAACCTCTCAGAAAAAGATTTCACTATCATTTTTATGGACAAAAGCAAACCAACAGCCTGGAAAAGGTTAGTCAATGCTACTGTTTAGTTTTCCAGTTATAAGTAAACACTTTTTATTATCATTTCAATCGTTTGAGCCTCTCACATTTGTTAACATTTTTACAAGACAATTAATAGCATGGGAGTAATAAATTAAAACTTGTTAAGTGCATCTTAACTCAAATGAGAACTTATAATTGAATTATTTTCTGAAATTAAGCAGATATAAAATGTATTAATTAAAAAACGAAGAAGGTACTTTCCCCCACAGTAAATGTGGAAAACAAGTGCAACGGTATGACAAGCAGTTGCTGTGTCAAATATGGGCCGAAGTAATTTTAAAAATTGAGATGATTTATGGGTCAAAAACAAGGGCCATGAAAAATATGAACGAGTTTGTGTTGTGTGAAACAAAATTTTATACGAAATAAAATTTTTAATTTTTGCTTGCAAGTTTCTGTATGTAGAATGAGAGGCCAAAGGCAAAACAAATTTTGGCGCAGCGCCCCCCCCCCCCTTAAAAAATGGATCTATTTTTAGAATTTTGCTAAACGAAACATCTTATTATCCATAAAGCCTGAGTGGTACCTGACTCAAGTTTTAACCTGGATACGCGATCATAGCGACTTTCTTGAGAGGAACATTCAACCCCTTTTAGATGAGGCAGGAAAAGGAGATATCTGTGCAAGAGTAAGTCAAGTTTGTTAATTTAAAATAAATGTCCATAGATTAATGTCATTTAATGTTTCATACAAATAGAATAGTAAAATGTTCATACACATAGAATTTCTTAGATATTTCTTTTTTTTTTTAATTTAAATGTAGTATTGTTCCCATATGTAGTAATGTTCCCATAAGTGATAATGTTCCCATAAGTGATAATGTTCCCATGTGTTGCAATGTTCTCAAGTGTAGTAATGTTTCCATGTGTTGCTATTTTCCCATGTGTTGCAATTTTCTCCTGTGTTGCAATTTTCTCCTGTGTGGTATTGTTTCCATGTGTAGTAATGTTTCCATGTGTAGTAATGTTTCCATGTGTAGTTTTGTTTCCATGTGTAGTAATGTTGTAATTTTGTGTTTAAAATACATCAAGTTTTGCTTGTGGTTCCCAGACAGAGCTCACACGTGGTCTTGTGATGTTGGTGATGGAGAAAATTGGCAATGATTTACCCCAGCTTGTCTACGACGAGGCCAGCTTCTCACATCTGATAGATGAGGTTTTGCTCTTTGACAGTGAAGTCAGAAACACATATTCCTATCCACCCATTCTCCCCGGATGTTTAGATGTCTTATGTTTACAAGAAGCTCTAACAAAATGGCTGCTAGTGGAGAAAAAATGTAGGACACTTCATTAAAGTGGCGTCAGTTGTTAAGATGTTAATAACAGTAAATTTTTAATTCTGTTGTTGAACAAACTTTAGAGAAAAGAATTTTGTTTTTTTACACACACAAATGTTTGTTAATAATGTTAGGATGCTTGAATAACTATATATAAGTTATTATAACTGTACCTATTGATATCAAATTAGTTCGTAATTGTTAAATGTCAAGTAACGATACAAGAGCTCTCCAAGTCACAAAAAACAAAAAGTTCCACAAAATATGACTAGTTACATGTATTTCAATTAAATGTTTTAGATATTTACAATATAGAATAAATATCTACATTGTGTCTTACTCAAGTAATATGATGTACTGAGGAGTATTAAAATGATATGTGTAAAATGTTACCAGGATCATTGACTTGGTGTAAATTAATAATAAAAATGTTAAACTTTTAATTTTAACCAAATAACCCGATTTAATTAAATAGGACTTTGAAATATGTTTTACTTTTAAAATAAAATTAACTTTTGTATTTTCTTTAGTGCATTTATCAAAAATGTTGAATCTTGAATATTCAAAGCATCATTAGGCCAGGTACCACATATTTAACAGTTACCAGGTGCACATATGTCTGATTTTCATAGATGCTATGCAGAAAATAGAACAGATGCTGCAGTCACCCAGCTGTTGGGAGTCTCAGTACAAGGATATTGCAGATCTGGATGAGGTCAAAGTGCCAGAGTGCGCTGAAAGTTTTATGACACTTCTACACACTATAACAGGTCAGTGTTATCTTGTTAGTAAAAAAAACTTCTACAGATCACTACTGATAAACTTGTTGATATCAAAACAAGCAAGGCTATGTTTAATTATTAACTCTTCTCCTAAGGCCAATGTTAGTGCCCTTCATTAGTGTAGGCCAAATGTTACTTACGCCTTTAACTCCATTTTGGGCATAGGCTGTCTACAAGAATTTTCCATTCATCCTAGTCCAGTGTTTCCAGTTGCTTCTAGGTGTATCCCATACTTTGTGTGTCTGCCTCTAGCTCGCATCTCCATGTATTCTTAGTCCTTCCTCTCTTTATTTTCTCTTGTGGATTCCATGTTAGGGATTGTCTGGTGATGTTATCTGGGGGTTTCCTGAGAGTGTGTCATGTCCACATCCATCTTGTCTTTATGATGTCTTCAGCAACAGGCTTCTGGTATGTTCTTTACAGTAAGTCTTTGTTGGTGATGGAGTTTGGTCATTTGATGTTAAGGAAGGATCTTTCTAAGGCAAGTGTTTAGGAAGGTCTATACTTTTTGCGTAATGCTCGCTATTGTTCTCCAAGTTTCAGCTCCACAGAGTAGGACAGTTTTGACATTTGTGAGGAAAATTCTAACTTTGGTTTGCAGATGGTAATAAGGGGGAGAGACTGCAATCAGGTTAGCAAAAAAGGAAATGAGTAAAACAAAGAATGGGAAAACCTGAAAAAAGGAACGCAACAAAACAAAGAAGGTGTCCGCAGGAAGTTTTCTTCAGCGTTCAAACAAAAACAAAAAACAGAATTAAATCAAAGTAGCACTTTGCTGAAAAGTAGTAACAGAGAGGGTAGTAAAAGAATTATTTTTGGTTGTGTATTTTTATATAAATTTAATAGTAAAATTAAATTAATATTTTTAGAATCACTAGCTTTGGTATCATTTTTCTTTGTTTACTGGTTTTCAGTCCTTTGTTACATATTGCTCAACACACGAGCCAAATCTCAAAACTGTTTAAATTTGCAAAACTATGTAATGGTACATAAAAGTATGTGCTGTGCTAGCGCAACGGGTAGAAACCTTTGGCTGCATGTGGTTCCATAAATAAATAAATCAAGCTTTTTTTCTTTTAAATTCGATTTTTCCAAAAACCACTCATGCGTGGCAAAAAAATTAAAACTTAAAAATAATCTTTAATTAATTCCATTTTTTACAAACAAAACATTGTACATTGAATCTTTTTCTCATCTTGCCCACTCCAATAAAATCAAACTTATATTTATTTTACAAATTTTATCTTGGAACTACAAAATTTGCAAATTGTTAGGGCTACTATCAAATACAACTAATAATTAAAATATGTGTAAACAAGCCCTTTCAGCTGATGTCAACGCATGCGCCATGATAAAAATAAGACAAGATTGTGTATATTTATTGCCAGCCAACAATATTCTGCAACTCTCAACAAACCCGTGAAAATGAAACTTATTACAGCAAGTAGCACGTGGTCTCAGGACGTTGAGATTCCCTGTTACAAATCCGCAGTGTGCACTTACCTTTAGAACAATAAATAGTGTTAATGGGCCATGATAATGAAAATGATATTAGAAATGAACAACTACAAGAATTCCATCACCAGATCGCTACAAAAGATTGCCGGTGTCTGATGCCAAACTTCAGTTTCTAGGCCTCCAGCTGGAGCTGTTAGAAGATTATAGGATGCGTTTAGTGCAGGTGATGAAAGAGGCAGCCACTGCTCCTACAGGACATGTTTTCTGTGCTGTGCTGAATGCTGTACATTATGTGGTACAAGTACTTGGAGAGTGGAGTGAGCTAACAGTAAGGAAACTCTTTTCAAGGCATTAAGGATCAATTGTGATCTATTTTAAATGACAGTCATATCAGAAACTTTGGATTAGATGTTGTAAACAGGGTGCACTTAGTTCCTAAAGCCGATATTTCTCGGCAAAACATTTCCTCAACTCTTTATAATCACGAATAGTGATATTTAAACAAGCATTTCACAATGTGGGCCATAAGGGTCCATAAAAAATTTGAAAAAAATTACATAATCATTATAAAAAAAATCTTTTTAAAAAATATTGATAGGAGGTTAAAAAAAATTGCAAAAAAAGTTGAGAAACACTGATGCAAACTGTCTTTTTCCTGTTTGAACAGGCTACAGCTTGGTTAAGAATAAATACTCTGCCTGTAACTACAATCATAATTTAGCTAGTAAAAAATTATTTTGAAATTACATTCTTTCACTAGTAATAGTAATTTGTTAGAAGTTTTTGGTAGTGTTTACATACATTAAATAGTTAATTTTATTTAAATTTATTTGCTTTACATTCTAAAAGATAAAAATATTTATTTCTATTTCCCTAGTTTTTCCTCCAGCTGTTGTGTTACAAGCAGAATAGATCTCTAAAAACCACTTTGTATGAGCCGCCAACAACCAAGTCCCAAACTTCTCCAGGCAGCAGAAACTCATTTAGCCGAACATCAGGGCAAGACTTGGATGAAGATGACAATTTGGTTAGTTCAGGATAAATTTGATCTTAATTTTGTTAATTTATTATTATTAGACAGAATTGTTGCATGTATCCATAAGAAACAAACTAGTTCATTGAAGCATTTCCAAGCTGTAACTCACTAAATGTTTAAGAGAGATTCAACAAATTTTACAGAAGATGGTGTTAAAAATATTTCATTAAAAAAATTGTTTCATAAATGCAATGTTTTAGATTTTTATTTGAGGAAGATGAAGAGGAAGAAGTCCTTAATTCTGAAAAATATTCTGTAAAAAAACACATTATTTAAAGCAATACCAACATATGCATTTACAGAATGACAGCAATTTTATTCCTTTTACTTTACAAAATGTTTATTTACTAGTTACATCAGATATCCAACTCATCAAATTTACTTTTATCTTACAATATAGTTATTTACTGGTTGCATCAAATATCTTATTCATCGCTAAATAATTGCAATTAATATTTTAATGTAAGTCCTTTGTTTTGGAATCTATAATTAGCTTTTTAAACCTAGGAGCAAGTGCTTGCTGAGCTGCCCAACTTGTCACTAGAGCACACAGTCTTTGAAGAGATCAATAGTTTGTTTGAAGGAATGGAGACTGATATGATCAATACAGTCTGCAACTATGTATTTATAGATGTCCAGGCCAGGAGTCAGTCTTACAGGAAGGACAGGTAAAAGAAAATAACTTGCTTGAACAAGTGTTTGTCTAGGCGTTTATTTATTAGCTGGCAATGATTCAAAATGAAACAAACCACTTAAATAGATCATTGCATTGCTAAATGTTTAAGAAAGCGTTTCAACATTTTACAAGTGGACTATATACTAGATATTTGTTTTACCCAAATATTCATTACCTGATAGGGGAATGTCTTTTCAAGACATTTGTGGTGCTTGAATCTTATGATTCCAATAGTCAGGTTTATCATAATATTTCAGTACACAAATTACATTATGATATTATCATATTTATGGAAAAAGAGTACCTGATTAAAAAAAATTAATGAATATTCATAAATATATAAATACAGACCTGTTTACTCTTACGATTTTGGCGTACAATGTACGATTTTTAGGTGTATAGGTTGTATATACTGTTTATTTTTTTACTATAACTATAACATATTGAACGCTTTTGTGATGATATTATACGCTTTTAAGAGTTTGAGGGTAAACAGGTCTGTAAATATGTATAGGTTATGCAGGCCCGACATCAAGTTTTTGAAGAGATCTTGGCAGAATTTGCCCTGAAAACAAAAAACCACAACACTCCAATGTGTAGAGCACATGACTTATATTCATCAAAGGACTATTTGTGTTACATCATACATAAAATGTTATGAGACCAAGTGACCTTGTTCTCAGGTGGATCTCCTTACCAGCACCAAAAGAATTGTCTACAACACTTGGTTTGTCCCAGTCTGCCTGTGAGATGTTTCTGGTCCTCAAAGACCACCTTGCCACAATGGAGGGTCAGCTGAGCAAACATTTGTTTGATAAGTTCTGGCATCGGTTGGCAAAAAGCATTGATGCTTTCATTTTAAAAGAGGTACGATTTTTGCTGTAGCTTAATTAATTGGTGCACCATATAATATATATTGATGTTTAAATTGTTTTTAAAACAATCCACACTTTAGTTCTCACCTAAATGTTAAATAATTTTTCTGAACATTGGAATATGCAGGTGATCATGACGAATCATTTCAATGAAGGTGGAGCCATGCAACTGCAGTTTGATATAGTTAGGAATCTCATACCTTTGTTTGGGGACTACACTAACAACCCAGACTCCTATTTTCGCCTGTAAGTTTGTTAAGTAAACCTTATGGCCAATTATTATTGGATATAGCTTACTATCATCTTGATATTTTTCAAATCATGAATTACATGATTCAATTTTACCATATCCAGGGGCATGCTGGGACTGAGTTTTACCTAATTTCGACCTACATGTGATGTCATTTATTTTGTTTTTCAAAAATAATGTGTATGGGCTTTTTAAAACAAAAAACTTTGCATTTAAGTGATTTGATGTTAGTACTGTCTGGTGGCACAAACTTCTTAATAAATTCAGATTAAAAGTTTTGAAAGTAATAAAATATTTCTATTTGACACAAATTTTAAGTATTGATTAAGCCTCCTGCAATGTTTAATCCAGACCGCAAGACCTTCTGCAATGTAAAAATTGTGAATTATTATTGGTAATGCGTTTTGCAAATAAATTTTCAAGATGTAAAATTTTCAACCTGCATTAGTCATGATCACAGTAAATTTAAAGATTATTTTACTGCTTATTTTTTAACTGAACTTAGACTGCATTTTGAAACCCATCTTCAATGACATATAGTAAAAGTAGACCCTTTAGATTCCTAGAAAATTATCATTCCAAGAAAAATGAATTTCTCAGCATCTCTCTGAACACAAAAGGTTCCCCACCCCTGGTAGTGGTAATCTGGTAAACATAATCAATTTAAACAGTGCCAACACCAGAGTGAGAGGTCAAGAATTTTCATTTAACCCTTTTTACATTATTAGACTCCCTCAACATATTTTCCACAAAAAGCCAATTAAAGACCCACTATGGCTCCTTACCATGTGGAACATTTCTAGAACCACTTTTGCTTTCGATCACAGTCCTTTGGTCCAACTAATGTGTACCATTAGAAAATATGGATGTCTGATGCAAACAATTGGGAAACTCAATTTAAAAATGATAGTTTCTAAATTATTTGAAGATTTTATAACTGTACATCTAACATCAACATATTGAAGTTGAAACGTGTTGAAAAAATAATGCAGACCTACAAAAATGCCTCAAATAAAACATCTGCGGTCATGTAAAAGATGGTTTCACAGGGCAAAACTGTTTACTTTTTATACTAATTTTTTTTTATGTTTCAGAACCTACAGTGAAGGGTTTTGACAGGATCCCTAATCTGGTGTCATAAATAACATGAAATCAATTTTCTCTTTTTCTCAGCTCTAAAGAAGCCAGCACCCTCCTAACACTGAAGAATGGTTCAGCTCTACTTCTTAAAGAAGTTCTCTACTCTCACCTGCATCAAACTGCTGAACAGCAACAATTAAAACAGCAACAGCCTGACATTAAAACTGCTCTGAGGGATGTTAGCATATTTACCCTCACTCCAGACCAATGTGAAACGATATTAAGCTTACGTACAAATTTGTCCATTTCATGACAGTGATGATCATTTTATTTCAAAATACCACCCTAAGCCTTTCTACATGGTACCTTATGAGTAAGCCTGCAAGTTTTAAGAAATTTTTAAAAGCATCGTCAATCTATTATTAAAAAGTGCAAAAGTTAAATCGTTCCTATTACTATTAGCAATTTAAATAAAATTATGTCAGAATTATAAGTTTTATTAGGCATAAATTGATAAATGCAACAACTGTGTTATAATGGGTGACTGATGTGCATCAGGATGTTTCGAGTTTCACCTGGGTTTGGAAACTAATACATTTCCAGCCCTCCATTTATAATGGATAAATAAGTCTTAGGACTTTTTAGAATGTGATTTAGTTAAGCACCCTACCTATATTTGTATGAACGCCAGTATGGGATCAAGCAATAGTTTGCTATTGATTTGTAGCAAACAAAGTGTCAATTGAATTTGTTTTAAATTGTTGATCTGAACATTTCTGAAGAGTAGATTGGTAAGGAGGAAGTAAGTTCACATTTGTTGATAGAATTTTGTTAGATTTTAAAATTTACATGTTTTTTTTGTTTGTGCAAGGATTAAATCACATTTTGTTTTTAACTGTCTATGGCGCAATTATTTATCAAAATAATTCTTAGGGAAATCTCTTCAGTTATAAAGCCATGAGACTTGACTTTGATCTAGTTAATTAGTTTATATCCAAAATTATTATTATTTTTTGTGTTATTGGAGTATGTATGATATTATGTTTCAACTCTCTCTTCTGGGTCTAGTGCCATGGAGTTATTAAGTACCTTCAAACTGTGCTGCTGTGATGTTTTTCCGCTCTAGATGATTGACCAATATTTATTGTGTACCTACATGAAATTAAACTAAAATACAAATCTCCCTTGCCTCTCACATTGATTTAAGTGTTGAAACCATTCATATAGAATATATTGGCAGCTTATCATTTAAGACACACATAACCTTGCTGACCTTTATCAGTATAAGACATATAACTTCTTAAAATTAGAAATAAATGTTCAGTACAAATAAAGCAACATTGTCAATTATAAAAAAACAATTTTACTGGTTGTGTTCATTGTTAACAAAGGATTTGCTAGTTTAACACAACTGAGGATCATTTCACTTTTTTTCTCGTGACTATTTGCAGGTTTAAAAATTGGTTAAAACTATCAACATGTATAACATGCAGTTATACATTATTTTGCAAAAAAAGATATATCAAATTTAGCACAGAAGTTAATTTTTAGTACTGATCAGTTTACAATTTTTTAAACTTTTCTTTTCCTTAGTTTCACTTCCAGGTGGGAGAGATTGAATGAAATAGGGGGATGGCTCAATCATTCTTTAAAATGAAGGGAAAAAATAATAATTAACAAGCATAAATTAATGTAAACATTCAGTAAATGGAACCAGTGAAAGCCCCTTTTCACAATTGAGTCAGGTGGTCCAACTTTTGTTTCATGTGTCCTACCTAGCAAACTCATTCAAAAAATAATTTCAAGGGATAAGACAATTTTGATGTAGAACACAGGGACAAGAGTTGGAACACCTTGTTGTAGAGCAATGGTTCTTAATATGAAGTCTTTACATGAACTGTTTTCTCAAAATGGCTACTTTTAAAATGAACAAGTCCCCAAAAGTCTGAGAACCAAAACAACACAACTATCAGTCTAGGAAATTTAAAGTCCATTTAACAAGAGACATTCATATCTAAAGAGTCGAGTGTGTAGGAATTATCAAATAGCATAAATAATTTTCTCAGTTTAAAATGAAAGTAGTGCTTTGCTTTAAGACATAAGCCAGCCTTTATTCTCAGGTTGTTTTTTCCTAGACTTCGACTGATGAATTACATAATATATATTCGTAGAGTCCATTGCAAACTTCAGTTCATCAGTAAATGAATTTTTTATTTCAAATAAAATATTTGACTTTGAATTAATATTTCTATTTAAAAAACATCATACAAATAGGATTAAGTGACCATGACAAGATAAAGGTCCTAATTAAATGCCTGAGATTCTTAGTTGTAATCAATTACCTGAAGTGTTATCTCTATCCCTATATATCATTTAACAGGCCATACATCACTTGACAAGAATGCATTGTGAACAAAATGCATTTAAAAATGTAATTTACATAGTAAAAATAAAGAAGCCTATAGAATTCCAATAAGTTTGGACTGAGTTCAATCAATACGTTTGTACTGAGTTCAATCAACAAGTTTGTACTAAGTTCAATCAATAAGTTTGGACTTAGTTAAATTACATTGAGAGTAAAGACAGAAGATACTGTTTATTTATAAATGTGACCATACTGGAGTTGCCAACTTTTGACATGTTTATTTATTTACATGCAACCTCTGATAAGCCTCAAATCATTGTAATATAATATTTCTTTTATCTGTTCACAGTATCAGATTCACAGCTTGCAAAGCAAATTGCTGGCATTTAAAAATGAAAGTCTGATTTTTTAATCATTGACAGCAATTTATGTTTGAGCCCACTTTTGGACAAACATCATCTAAATATTGTAAGAAAAAATAAGCTCTCAACATAAGAAAAAAATAATCATAATAAATAACCATGACGATAATTACAGGTCTCAATAATTATTTCATCATTTTAACGTGCACCGATGCAATAAAAAGTGGCCTCAGAATTTCTGCTCCTAAATGCTTGCATTTTACGATCAGCAAACATTAGAAGTATATTGGTAGTTTTCAATGAAGAGAGTGAACTAATAGATTACATCCCATATTACTGTGATGGTAGGGTAAACAACACTATTAACAGTAACAGTGTCATTATGCTTACTGAGTGCAAAGTTCTGTTTACAACAAAAATATCTACAAAAGGAAAAAAAAGCCACCTGTATATAACACAGTAAAGATAAATTAATCCCTATCTCACAAACAAATCTTGGTAACAGACAGAAACTTGCTATAAACTTTCACACATTTCTTTTGTACATTTACAAAGATTATTTACAATATCTAAGCACACCAATAGTGTTAAGATTAAAACTCTGTTGTGTTCATCACTCGCCCATTAAAAATGACAGTTTCACCAAAAGTGCAAGCATCAACAATATAAACATCTTCTAGTGCTCTCAACTCACATACAACCAGGAGAGGTAAAATACACAGAAAAATAATGTGTAAATAAAGGCAAAATCCATCCACAAACACACTATGCCAATCATGAATAGACTTTCTGTAAATTATCACAAGCTGGTGTAGCCATATCCACAGCCCTCTGGTACAATTTTGCATCTCCATAATTCCTTGCCCTCCACATCATATTTTCTTCTGTAATAAAGGAATGGAAAATATGATATATCAAATCATTTGGTTAAGTTAAAGCTGAAATCAACACAGATAAAAATGCAAAAAAAAAATATGTCAATATAACAAATAAACTTTTATCAGCCCTTAAAAGTGGTTAAAAGGGGGAAATTATAAATGTGCTAAGCCAAATTTCATCAAACTTGTGAAACATGACATCGTAGAGCACTGTGCTAAATTAGTTTGTGAAACATGCCATCCCCTGTGCTAAGTTGGTTTGTGAAACATGTCATCATAGAGCACCGTGCTAAGTTGGTTTGTGAAACATGCCATCATAGAGCACTGTGCTAGTTGGTATATAAAAACTTCAAAAAAGCATGGGGAAAATTAATGACAAAAAACTTACTGTAATTTCTCTCCCTAAAACAATTACTTCGTAGCTGCCCTATGTGCTCTTCTTCCACTGCTCTCTCTATCCTACGAAGATCGGACTTGAACTCTGGCCGAAAATCTTCTTTAACGTAATATGTCACTTTCAAATTGGAGGTTTTCATTTCCACTGTGTATTTGCTACAATAAAATTCAGGGCGTTTAAATGAAAGATTTCATCAAGCAAGAAATTACACGACCGAAAATATTTCTGAAACACATCTTTGACTTAACGATGATAACAATTTATCTAACATGTTTAGTACATTATCTAAGATGTCAATATTGTTTTATAGAAATGTTATTAAGAATAATCTAATTATTAAACATAATTTCGTCACCAACACACAGCTTATTCATCATGTGGTTATTTTATAGTGTTTTCTTTTAGTAAAAATATTCAACGAAAGAGAAACGGTGGGATTAAATATTATTGTAATAGATAGGGTTTCCTTTGCAAACTATGTAAGGACATGGTAACCATAAAGTAGAGTAAACATGTTTCACACAGACTTCGTCTCAAACCTTCAAATGCCTTATTTTATAATTTGATGACCTATTTATTTTCATATTCTAAAGAGAGAAAAATGACAATCTCACCCAATTATAGCATAGATACAAAATTCTTTATCACAATAAACTATATACAATATATACATAATATTAATAGCCAGCTCATCCTTGTAGATATATCCTTTAGTTTCTTAAAATATAACACAACTGAAAGTAGGTACAATGTTTTTCTATACATTTAAGTCAGCTTGGTATTCAAAAATAATTTGTTGTTTGAATCAATAGTTGAAACATAGAAATCATGATGAATCATTAGTCCCAGAAACATAGAAATCATGATGAATCATTAGTCCCAGAAATATAGAAATCATGATGAATCATTAGTCCCAGAAACATAGAAATCATGATGAATCATTAGTCCCAGAAATTTAGTAATCATGAAGAATCATCATCCTTATCTGATGCCTTTTCTCATAATGTATTTGAAGTGCAGATAAAAGAGAAGTCTCTTTTTAAGCTCAGCCTCCTTGGCCTTGCCATTCGCTAATGGCAACTAAACTGGCTACATCTGCTTCCAAGCTTATTTTTTAAATTTCAATTCCTGCACTTCATCTATCTCAAGCTTTATTATTTTTTTTTTGGACTCGAGTAGAATTTCTGCTTTTCCAGATATAAAGTTTATTTCATCCTTGCTGATGAGGTGAAAGTCAACAGCTCTTATAAGATCCCCCAGACTCTCACTGTTTAAATTTCAACAGTGACTTCTTTATTCACAGAGAACCCTCATTCTACTGTCGCCTGGCTATGTGATAACTAACAAAAGGAGTTTCTGAACAATAACCCTTGGCCCAGAAAGCTCCATTTTATTGTGGACAGTTGATAGAAAAATTCATCAACCTTGCCTACAGAAAGGAAGAAATTTCTGTTTTCTAGTGAACTGGCTGTGATGATGGAAACAAAATATTTTGAGCCAAGATGGTGTTGCACTTAAACTCTTCAACTTGTTTTGCTTCCATCTATTTTGCTGGTATCCATGTGATTATTTCTCTCTAAAAATATGAACTTGATATAGCTGTGACAGATTTGGCCATCCAATATTAAATCTGGTTTGATAAGTCTTGACTTAAGAGACGGAACCAAGCTTCCCAGGTCTGTTGCCAAAAGTGTCTGCATAGGGTTGTCTGGTACAACTTGAGAAATGGTTGCAACCACATGAAGAAGTGCAGCTATGCCTTTAAGAGAGGATATTCTAAGGTGCAGCAGACTCCTGAAAGGATTGGCAAGAGGGATCAGGAAGGGGTTTGCTTTTAACAGCCTTCACATAGATCTACCAGCTGGCACAGCCTTCACTTAGATTTACAGATTGTGTATTATCAGGAGAGCTCTCTCAGCTGGCACAGCCTTTACATAAATCTACAGATTGTGTATCAACAGGATAGCTCTTTCAGCTGGCTTAATATTTGGTATCATCAGGAGAGCTCTTTCAGCTGGCTCAATATTTGGTATCATCAGGATAGCTCTTTCAGCTGGTGCAATATTTTCAAGCCATCTGCAATTAATAAAAACTTTATTAGAATGCGATTATTTAAATATTACATATGGAAACCAGATACTAAATCTGTTTTCTAAATTACTTTAATAAAATGGAACATCACAACAGCTTCATAAATCAGAAGTGTTTAAATCTTACCAGTGCTTGCAATAGTTTGTTGGAAATACAGCAGTATCTGTGATGGTCATAAAGCAGAACTATCATGAAGTAGGTTAAACATAAGCATATTTTCTATGTACCAGGAGGCTGCAGTTCTCCATTAAGCAAAGCATTGTCTAAAAGATGCAACCCACAATACCCAATCTTTAACAGCTTAAATGTGCCGGATTGTTCAGTGTTTTTTCTTCTAACATGTGAAATGGTTGCCAATTCAATGAGGGCCATCTTTCAACAGAGGTAAAAAAAAAATCTTGGACGTCCAAGGTCTGTGATAATATCCCATATGTGAACATAAATATTCATTTGCTTTTCTTTCATTGTTGCATTGAACATAAGCAGAAGCTGCTCATATTCTTTTAAAGCACACCAGCTAAGTAGAGTACTATGCTAAAAATGCTGAGATATGCAGACCTCCTCTCAGCACATGCGAACTGTTGTGCTATTTCACAAGTAGTAAACATGGCCTTCAAAGAATCTGCAGCGTCGTTGGAAGAATTGAAGCTGTCTTGGCTATTTAGAAATGTCATGCCCATTTTTTCGGCCGCCACAGTACAGAACAAAAATATCTGCCAATTTTTACAGTCAATGACAGCTCGAGAGTTAAATATCCAGGAATTTAAGGAATAAGCAGTTTTCTAATTCTCAATGTGATTTTTCCTAAAATATAATAAACAAAAAGCGTAATTAATCTCATATTAAAATTAACTGGTAGACTTAAGTCTGGATAAAATAATTTGTATGGGTCAAATTAGTAGCTAAATTAAATAATTATAGAAAAGAAGGTCGAATTTGTATTATCCAATGTGTACTTCGCTAAGTGAATTTAAAATATGTTTAAGTTACTGTAGTTTACCGTTTGCATGGCTGTTCAGGACTTCTTCACCAAATCCAAAATGAAGAACAAACAAACAAATTTTATCAAAGAACGTGTAGTTAAAACAGTTTCAGTTACTGGGCGGTCGCTGAATTGTAAAGATTAATTCGATTTGCATAAAGATGTACCACCGTGTTTTTCGTACAGGGTTACGGATCAATGAGAAATGCGCACAGTTAAATGGAAACATGTTTTTATAAAACCATTCTCCCCAAACTTTCAAAGACTGACGTTTTTTGTAACTTTTCTCAATCTTTCCAGACCCCGGAAATCCTTAAAACCTTTTCTCAAACCCAGACCTGTTTACCCTTCAACTTTTAAAATTGTACAGCATCATCACAAAATCGTTCAATACGTTATATTTATAGTAAAAAATAAACATATAGTATAATATACAATCTATACTCCTAAAATAGTACATTAGTACATTGTACGCTAAAATCATAAGAGTAACCAGGTCTGCAAACCTTCAAAGACTGTGCAAACCCTGAGTAAAAGAAATCCATAAATTATACCAGTAAAAATACAGGAAAATGCTTACTCTGTTCTCTGCAAGCTAAAAACAGAATCACTGACAAGGAAGCTGCTCAGTAGGGATAACACAACAAGCAACAAGATTGGGGCCAGTTGGAAAAATAATGTCAAACCACTCTGCAATAATACAAAAGTTAATTTGATAATGGGAAATGCAATCTTTTTTTAAAAAATAGCAACAAAAACTAAAAACCCTTTTTTTAAAAGTTGATAAATTCATCCGCTGTAGATATGACTGAAACGTCAGTAACTGCATTTCAGGTTAATGGACAACTTTTATATTAGTATCAAGTAAATATATTCAAGACGAAATATGGGCATAAAGTGTAGTTGAGAATAGAGGTTTATGGTTGTATTGTATTTTAATGCATCTAGTATAATAAGCAGAAATATTAAGACACCCTCTGACCTCTGATTGCTGTGGTTCTCTGTAAGTGTAGAATGTCCTCCTGGTAGAGTGTGCATGCTGTCTATGTACATTTGCTGTTAAAATAAAAGCTTAGAATGTCAATACACCATGACACAAAAAGTATGGATTCTTCTCAGAGCGAATGTCATTTATTTCTCTTAATTACTTCCATGGAAGTAAGTTAGAAACACCCCCCCCCCTCCCCAAGTTCTCTATATTCTAGATTTCCTGGTAGAGTGTGCATGCTGTCTATGGACATTTGCTGTTAAAATAAAAGCTTAGAAAGTCAATACACCATGACACAAAAAGTATGGATTCTTCTCAGAGCGAATGTCATTTATTTCTCTTAATTACTTCCATGGAAGTAAGTTAGAAACACCCCCCCCCCCTCCCCAAGTTCTCTATATTCTAGATTTTAAAACTATATAACTAAGCTGGACACAGAAGGATAAAAAATAATTAATAATACAATAAAAATAAATACAATAAATATTTAAATAATAATAAATACATATTTTCTCAATCATTTTAAATAATAATAGCAAAGTTTCCTAAACTCGGTTGCTCACACTCAGGAAAATATATAAATTATAAAAAAAAATTTCTTCAAGTAATTAACAGTGCATTATTATTTTGTAAGAAATGAGACTTAGCCGTGCAATTTGCGGGTTGCAGAATATAAAAAAGGTTAGGAGATCCTCATTTACAGGAGAAAAAAAAAAGATGTTTATTCTATATTATGAGAGAAACAGACCTAGCAAAATACAAATAAAAGAATCACAAATAATTAGTTTAGTACATACCTGATGGAAAAGTCCCTCCAAAGAACATATTAAACAGTTCTTCAGGAGATATGTCACCTTTAAAAGAAAAATATGGATTGCATTAAAAGCTTAGAATTATTGCCAAAGGAAATTCAACAATTAGAACCCAGCCAACTATTTTACAAAAAGCATTACAATCCATAACAATGTTTAAATGACAGAACATAGAGTTCTTCAGTTCCTTGGTTGTGTGTATGTGAGTGTACTAAAAACTGATGTAAATAACATTTTATCACTTTAAAAAAAATATGTATTACCTTCAAAGCCATGTGAATAATCTTCTTCCCGGGACGGCCTGCTAGGTTGCATTTCAGGGCCATACAAGTCATATTGTCTCCGTTTTTCTTTATCACTGAGGATGCTGTAAGCCTTCCCGATAGCTGCATATCAATAACATCAATTAAAAATATTAACAATTGCATATCACTGAACAATACAAAAACAATTATCCAAATCATTTCTATATAAGAATTAAAATTTTATGTTAAAAAATTAACCCTCTAAAGGGAGAAAGTATTCAAGACAGAAATATTATATTATACATCTTGCAATAAATGTAGTCTGAAGTGAATGTACTAATAACTAGATCTAACTTTTGAATATACAGTGGAACCTCTCATAACGAGCAAAAAAAAATGTGAAGAAGTTGCTCCCTTAACGAGCGACATTTCGCATAACGAGTTACGCAGAAAGGGGAAGTCCCTTTTCCCCTCACTTCTGCTTGGAAAAAACTTTGGCCAGAGAGTGTTGTTGAACGTGATTTTCAAACAGTACCTGTGGAGTCTACAGTTAACGAGATTGTGTCATTGGCCAATATCATGGGACTTGAGGTGGACAACGACGATATTGAAGAACTTGTGAAAGAGCACAGTCAAGAGTTGACCACCAAAGAGCTTATGAAGTTGCATCATGTTTCTCAGCAAGAAATTATGGAGGAGAGCTCATTAATGGAGGAGGAAGTAGCAGAGCAACAATCTGCAAGCGCAATAAGAGAAATGCTGAAAACATAGGAAGCTGTTGCATCGTACATTGAGAAGCCTCACCCTATAAAGGAGGTGGCTATTCGTGCTACAAATTTATTCAATGATAATGCTGTGACACGTTTTCGTCAAATTTTGAAGCGTCGGCAAAAACATATGTCTTTTAGACAGTTTTCTAGTTAAAATGGATTAATTATTTGTCATAAATTCATATTTTTATTTACGTTTTTTGTTTCAAATCTTGATTGTATGCCATGTTGTTACACAACAATTCATAAGTAATTTTATTTGAATAAATGTTAATAAAATTTTTGGAAAAATGAGTATTTTTTCAGCATGGAATGCATTATTGTATTTTACATTGATTTTTATGGGAAAAATTGTTTTGTTTAACGAGTATTTCGCTTAACAAGTAAGATTCTGGAATGAATTATGCTCGTTATGAGAGGTTCCACTGTACTTTAAAAAAAAAAAAAAAATAATAATAAACCACTAAATGATGTGAAAAATGTGGGATGAAATGAATGGATTTTAAAGTAAGATTCTGGAATGAATTATGCTCGTTATGAGAGGTTCCACTGTACTTTAAAAAAAAAAAAAAAAAATAATAATAAACCACTAAATGATGTGAAAAATGTGGGATGAAATGAATGGATTTGTTCAACAACCTTTAAATGCCTCTGTCGCACCAGGAGCTTTATTTTTGTCTGGATGCATTTGAAGGGCCAACTTTCTGTATGCTTTCTTTAAGTCTGCTTCAGTGAAATCTTTAGCCAACTCCAATACTTGGTAAACATCTTTACAATTATTTATCCTGCAGGTGGTAAGAAAAATAACATCTATTTAAATAATAAGAAAAAAATAAGTTAGGAAAGGAAAGTTAAAAGACTGTTTTTGCTGTCAATGTACTGAATGATAAAGGCACTGAGGGTCACTGCTACACAGCCTCCTGAATCAGATCTTGAACAGCCTTCCTTAAAGGATTATTTTAAAGGTGTTGTCAGGCAAATTTAGAAAAGATACTTAATGCCATTATTCAACATGGATATAAAATGTGGTTCATAACTGGCATGGAAATGCCTTAAAACTAAACATCGCAATAATAAACAATTTTAAGCAAGCAATAAATTATTATGCATTTGTGTATAAAAATGTTTTTGTGTTATAGCATCAGCAAATATTCACCGACTATGTGAAACATGTAAAAATAAAAGTTTGGTACTCCACTGAAACAGATAATTCTTATTATCTTTATATTATTATTTTATTTAATGTTGTTAAAATCTGCATTGTAAAAGCACTTAAAAATAAAATTCTCAGTTTACGCAAACAATTATGAGAAGTGCAATCCATTCACTACACACAGTAGAGTAACTAGAGTTTGGATTATACATTTTTCCAACAACTTCTGAACCCAGGGGTGAAAAACCCAAAAGCTTTCATGGGTCATTTGATTGTCATTACACCCATCATATAAAATAAATACCTATTTGATGTTGTGCATAATTATTTATGTATTATTAATGCATATAATTCTTAGGTGATAACACATTTACATGTGCCACCTACACACATAAATAATTACATTAATTAATTGTATAGATTTAATTGAGATGTAACTCTTTAATAAAGATATACTACGGCTAAACCAGGTGCAGTTTTTGTTAGAAAATACTGAGTGTGTCCATGCTTTACACACAAAAAAAATTAACTTTTCATTTTCAATAATATATGCTGGCTTTTAAACAATAGGCCTACAGACAGTCCTAAACCCTAACCTGCTGGCCTTTAAACAATGGGCCTACAGACAATCCTACACCCTACCTGCCGGCCTTTAAACAATGGGCCTACAGACAGTCCTACAGACAATCCTACACCCTACCTGCCCGCTCTTTCTTGATTAATATAATAAATGCCTTCTCTAATAACCTGATTTTAACTGACACGGATGACACTCGCTACGTGACAGCTTTTTTTCTTTTTTTTGCTCTCAGTACTATTATATTATAAAAAATGTTGCGTAAGGGCATGGTCGGTTGTGAAAAGGAAGCATACACACCAGAAGCAAAAGATACATAAGAGCTATTTATATAGCATTTTATTGTAGATTAAAAGGTGCCACTGCTGTCACTATGTTTACCGGAGGAAGGGAGAATCATAAATTGAGAGCGACAACAGAAGGCTCCCAATCAAAAGTGGGGGAGGGGGGTCTCAGTGAAATGTTTTATAAATTTAGAATGCAGGGATGTATACCTGAATTCCTGGTAAATCATTCTAAACTAAATAGGAAAAATAGTCCTAAAAAGGAGTGGGTAGGCCATGCCATCACAAAAAAAAGCACTGCAGATTTATATAGTTCATTAATTTCAAATAAGAGTTTATAGCAAGAATGAAATTAACTGATTTACTACCATAAGACGCAGGTAGAGCTAAAATTCCTTCTATCATGACCATGAGCGGCTGTGCAGGTATGGTTTTTTTCATAGTGAAAATTTTAAAATATTTGTATTCTTACTTCCACTTCGGTTTAAGATTTTAATTTACAGATAGGAAAATAATTTAAAACAACACAGGGGACAGTCAGGATATGAAAAAAAATGTATTTTTGTCATATTTATTTGTATTTTGAGGGTAGATCACAAGTATTTTTCATGGCAACTAAAGATAAGGTTACCAAAACCAAATATACTGTAAATAAATTGAAGATATGTTTATTAATTTGTGGAATTGTCTAAATTTGGAAACCTTTTCTAAGTTGGTGTAGATGTAATTACAGATATTATTACTAATAATATTAGAAGTAATAAATGTTTTGGAAATTCATAACTTGAAGGCAAGCTCAAACATTTTTATAGTTTTTGAACGTTTCTCTCTTGTATATAATAATTTAGAGTCTAACAATAATGTGTTTTAGTTTTATCTTACAGAAAATTCATTTATCTACAAAAAACTAAATACTTTTACAAATATTTTAATAAATAAGAAAATGGCAACTGAATTTGTACATAGATATGCATGTGGAAAAATGTCAACTACATTTAATTAAGCCATACATGACTATTTAAATGTGTTAGCTAATCAGTTAAGGGCAAATTGAATGAAGAAAGAAATTCATAATTTGTGATACATCTGGCTGGCCATTCCTGTTCTATCCTAACACAGAGCATATTATACTTAAAAGATTCTACAGTATGTAATATGTAGATTTAAAAAAAAGTGATTAATCCTTTTATTAATTGACAAGTAAGCATTCATTTTCAATATATGACATGGTGACATCTGTATGCGTTGAAATACAGTAACAGAATAATAATAATGATATGGGTACTATTTTTAAAAAGTCTCTTATACAAATCAGATGTATAAAATGAGTCTGCAGTAAGGCAGATACGGATATAAAATGTACAATACAATGTACCTTTTCACAGATGCTAACTGTTCAGGAGTATACTCCGCCACAATTTTAGTTTCTTTGTTTTCCTCTTTTTCTGTGGACCATTTAGAGTGACCGGGTTTTGCACTGCCCACATGGCTCGAATCACCAACATTAGCATCCCCATTTGAAGTGTGTTGTAAGGAATTTAGAAGGTCTGTGAAAGTTAAGACAAATAAAGCTTAATGTAAAATTTACAAACGTCCACTAAAATTTTATAATAAAATGTAACTAGAGTGAGCGGTTTTTAGTGCAGATTTCAAATCTTCATACATAGGTGAAACAGGAGTATTGAATTTCTCTGTTGAATTTTCAGTTGATTATAATCACTTTTAGATGCAATGTTCATACAATAAAAAAGCACTAGATTTGAGAGTTACATTACTGGGTGGGAAACCTGTGGAGCATGGATATTGACTTTTAATGGCTGCGCATAGAATTTTGTGTTTTCTTGTGTACAGTGTATCTTGAATTTTAGTTTCGTTAATGAAAGTTTTTGGCGCATTGAGGCTTGTGATGCATTCATCACAAGATTTTTTGTATCTGTGAAGTAGTGTCAAGACAGTCTTTGAGTATGTGCTGTTTGTTTGGCAGTTGCTGTCTGCGCATTGAGTGAGAAGGTTGTATTGTATTCCTCTAGCAAGCTGTGCTCTGTGTTTGAATTATTGTAGGACCAGGTGATAGATAACTTGGATCAAAGTTTACATTTTTCTTGGAATAGGACCTGTGTTCGGCTTTAATGACTTATGAATGGGTGAATGAATTTGACATGAGAAACTCAATCATATAGACTTGTCACAACCCTATTGCCAACCAACACATTTGGATTAACTGTGTGTTGGTGAAATGTACACATTATACCCACTGTCCATTCACAACCCTCAGTATCACAGCATCTTCTGAAAACATGCGGACAACATATTTTTTTCATCATGATTTTAGAAAAACACAGCAATGAAGCAGACTGAATGGCCAAGCAAAAGGTATGCATCACTCCCTAACCTTATTCAGTGCCAATGCGGCATGGTATGCAGTATTTGCCGGGAAAAAATAAGATTTTGTCCCCTTTTACTTTTTGACTGGATTTGTGAAATTTCAAGGCGTTTTTGTTAAGATATCGATCTGTACTGTAGGTGAATTTGCATAAATGACATGACAGGGACGGTGCTATTTTAGAGTTCGCTATTATTGGCTATTAAATTTACAGGTTTCAGTGACTGGGTAGTAGCTTCGGTTAATGTTATTTCGAAGCTCCACTCATTTCTCATGGCCGCCATCTTGGTTCAGAATTGTCAATACAATACCCATTTTCCAAAAATGCAGGAAAATTTAAATATTATAATTATAATTAGCCACCCAATGAAATTATAATTTAATACATTCCTACTCCGTATTAATGTTTAAAAAAAGAAAAGTTAACTCTAGTTATAATCCAAGAATAAACCAAAGGGAGAGAATCTTACGATGAAACTCGGTAATTCCATATTTTAGCGCGATGAATTATTTCTAGTGAAACAAATTAAAAACTTCCTATTAACCTGATGGAACTACATTAAAACACTTTAATGGTTACTGTAACATGTATTTATTCTTTTCCAATTAGTTTGTCATGTATTTTCATTCGTTTTAATCTGGGATTTAAAAAAAACATGTGTTTAAAAAAAATTAGTCAATTGATAATTTTGTTTATTGTCTATTCAGTGATGAGTGGCCAGATTTTTTCCGTTTTTTTCCCAGTCTCAGACCAAAAGCAATATTTTTACCGTTAAACTAAGGTTAAAAAATAATATGGTAAGAAGGGAGATAGACTGGAATCAGGTTAGAACAATGGAAATGAGTGAAACAACGTATGAGTAAACCTAATAAAATAACGCAACAAAGCAATGAATGAGTCGCAAAGAAACATTAATCAGTGAAAAAACAACAGTAAAACCAGATTTAAATTTTAAAAAATAACACTTAGCTGAAATGTAGTATCTGATAGGACTGCAACATTCCTCATGCTCTCAGATACTAAATTTCAGGTATGTGTTTGATATGTTTATATCTATTTCTTTTTTAACTTTTTGTTCACATTTTCCCATAATTATAAATGTTTTCCTTATTTCCATAAAATAATAATAGACCATTAAGTCAGATTCAGAGGCCTCAGCTTACACTGGGGTCATACGATGAATTATTAGCCAATTGTTTAACTCAGACCTTCCCACCTCCCTACACACACACATAAATGTACCAGGAACAAAACAAGTTTTGAAATAAAATATTTCCTAATGATATACCTCCAGTGCTTCTCTTTTCTAATGGGTCTCCAATGTTGTATTTTTTTTGACAATCTTTGTCCGGTGGTTGTAATATAATGACACTTATGAACAACATTACACCTGCTCTTTTCCCCCTTTCCCATAGTGCTTTTGGAATACATGGACAGTCCCTTGAAGCCTTTGTGGGGGAGGATTAGAAGTTCATTACCGACCAAGGCAGGGGATACACACGATCAGTATTAACTTGTGAATCAAGTTATTTGACCAAGAGTGACAGAGAACTTGGCTTTACATCATTATCTAAGAATGAAAACACTGGAGTTTTAGTGTTGCTGCGTGAGAAGTTGACTAAAGAAAGCGTGTAAAACAACGAGCCTGGTCAAAAGACACAAAGTGTCGAGTCTCAATATAATAGGATGCCACCAACATCAAAGAGCGACCTATGTCCAAGCCACCCATGGACCAGGTAACCACAGACGTGGCTCTCAAATGTGGTATTGATATGAAACCTTTGTTGGGCTATGGGTGAAGAAGAAGGAATGATATCGGAGCTCTGCGCTTTAGAGCAAGGTTTTCCAGAGTAGAGCTGGTGGTGGTTCCACTGTGGTTTAACATTTGTGAGAGATGACGGAGAAATGGGGGGTGGGGGAAATCGGCCACATACGCGAGATCATTTATTGATGATCATCACATACTGTGTCATACTGAATACTGATGGTATGCAGTATGCAAATATGTGGTCTAGATACTTCGATGAAAGAAGGGAGACTACTATTTTTTTTGTATCGGAAATGGGCGTCGGCGCAGAAAAATCCGAGTTTTTAATTTTCCGATGTGTGTGTCTATTTATTATTAAATTAGTTCTTTCCACATATATTTGAGTTCCGTTTCCGGCCTTATAATTTGGAAGACATCTTGGCCTACATTTCTAGCCAGCTATTTTGCTTTTTTCAATCGACCTTTATTTTGAAAATCTTTGGTATATATAAGGCATCTTCGCATACAAAATTTTTTGTGAAATAATAAGATAAGGTCCTTTTTGATTAAATCTGTATGAGCATTAGATATTGATCTATATCTGTGCCAAGTTTCATTGATGTAGGTCGTGTCTCACGTTTGTTACACTTGTCACAGTGACCCATATCACCATAAGGTGGCTCAGCCTAATTTCGACATGGCGTGGGCCACGCCCCCTTTTTAATGGCGGAAGTTGCCGATACTTAGGAAATATTTAATTATTACCACTATATACATCAAAATATTTTATATTTTGTGTTTCAGAATGCATTTTGAAGACATTTAAACTGGAAATGTTTTAATTTGAGCTTTAAAAACCCTGCAGAGTCCATATTATAAATGATCAGAATTTTCCCTGTGCAACACGTTGTCATTGGCAACCATTCACAGCCACTTGCATAACGGCTACGTCGTAGTACTATCTCAGAGTTTCATTCATAAGAGTTTGCCGTGTGCAAAAGCTATTAAACCATTGGTCAGGGAAAGCTTTTATTAATTATTCATGTGCCAAAGTTGAAAGTTTAAAATAAGTCGACCCTAAACAGTATTTTAGTGATAAGGGAATGCATTGCCTTATATAAACTATATAGTCATTGCGCATGACGCGATCAGTGGAATGAGGTCACAGAATGTGGAGATGCAGTCTATGTTAAAAAATGACAAACCAAGTCGTACTTTAAAAATTCATAACTTTAAAACTACAACAGCTAAAAATATGATTTTGGTGTTATAATTATGTTTAAAATTAGCTCTATTCAACTGTGCCATTGGTTTATTTTTAAAAAATGTTAACATTTTTGACCAAAGTATCTAATGTGGTCCATGATTGGTCAGCACTAATTTTAGACCTCCCCCCTCCCCCCTTTCCTTTTTTTTTTCATATGCCATTGCGCCTAAGATGAATGATTTATGCTAAGTAAAACGAGAGAGGGAGGGCTAATGATTATATACAGTAAGACGGACTTATTGTGTGGTAGTGGGGGTCACTTTGTTCAAAATAGCAGGTCTACCACTACCACTCCACAGTCACACTCTCTCAGTTTATTTTCATACATCAGCAACTCAATTATTAATTATTTTTGGATCCAGCGTTAATACCTGTTGCTTTTTTTGAAGGGTAAAGCTTCTGGGCTTTAATCAGGAATTTTGTAGCTTTCTCTTTCTGTCCCGAAGCAATGTATCCCACAGCAATGTTGAGACATCTCTCACTTTCATCCTTGTTGCCGTCCATTTTGATGACGACAAAGCAATAACAACTGCAGAAGTAAAACTCATTTTGATTGGTTAAAGTGTAACTTTATCTTGGATTAGAAAAACGCAAAACAAAGAGTAAAAACAAAACTAGATTGTTTGGATGATAGAAAAAATGTAATATTTAGTTCATTTTATAATAAATTCATTATTTCATTGATAAAAATAAAATCTGAATAAATACATTCACATTCGAAACTAAAGAGATACGTATTCACAAGAGTAAATATGGAAGATAGATAATCCTTACAAAAATTAATTTTAAAGGTTACTTCCCATTTTTAAAATAGCTGTTTTTCAATATAAAAAATGACAGATATTTTAATGTTATTTTTTTTACAAAATAATAATTGCTGCGTTCATCGTTTTCTTTTTATTTTAATTTCAATATTTTATAAGTATTAGAGGTCGTCCATTAAGTATGTCAACAAAATAGGAAAAAAAGGGGGGGGGGGGTGGGTGGTGGTGGAAATGTTTGGCAATTGTTGACAAGGGGGGAAATGGGGAGAGGGGGGATTAGATTAGTTGATGTCAACAATAATATTTTCTCTATTAAAATTTTAATCTTAAAAATTGACTGGTTATTATAGTATTTTAAAAAAATTAAGGAGTGTAAATTAAAATAGTTATATCATTTGTAGGCTTTTAACAATACAAGATTTATTTAATGTGTGTGTCGGTCTGTGCACTGCTGGTGGCTGCTCAGAATTTTACCACATTTAGTTAATGCAAGAGAAGTCAAAAGTTGGCCTCTCTTCGACTGTAGATTCGATTTGTCGCAAATGACGAGGGTGGTATGTTTGCGGTCTTGTTACAAGTATGGAACAAGGACAAGTTTCAAGAGTCATGTGTGGTCAAGATAAATGGTATTGAGAGAGTAGTAAAACGATATTTTGAGAATAAGGGGAAAGTAAAGTAAAGTGAGTAACACTAATAACATCGCTGCTTGAACGGATTTGCAAAATCTGTAGCATCTATTTTGCACCACAAGTCATGTTGAAATAGCATGTTGAACAGCACAAATAATTCATAAGAAATTACCATCTGCTTCTCAACAAAGAAAGAATTCGACTAATGCAAGTAGCTGCCAGGAGACAGATAGAGCTTATGGCAATTATTGCTCACACTGACAATGCTTCCATTTTAAGTGCTGAATGGCTAGATGAGGATAGTGTTGACTTGTCTGGTAGATCAGTTCCGCCAGATGAAAATGATAAATCAGCTACTATGCTCTTTGTTACGATATATCAACACCTGGCTACTCCCTGGGAAGATAATAGCAGCTAGAAACTATGCTACAATTGTCAGCTATACTGACAATAACCACATTTCTACTTCTACAAACAATGATATTTAGTCTTTAAAAAGCTTTTCATTGATTCTGCATTATAAAATGTGAGTGTAAAAACGTTTTAGCTTGTTGATTAACACGCTAAAGATGCAATAAAATGTATCTCATACAATTTTATGTTATTAAAATAGATACTCACAAAAGTAAAATGTATTTATATATTTATTTATATTATAATTCTTTTTTTTTTTTTTGGAGTGAGGGTTTATACAAATGTTGACATTATTACTTGGGGGGGGGGGTCACTGAAAGTTTGACTGTTGTTGACATGGGGGAAGGGGGTAAAAATTGCTAAAAAATTAATGACGTAATTAACAGACGGCCCCTTAGATTTTTTTAAAAGATTTTTTTATTAAGCTTGTTGCACTAAAGGTGTTTCTTTAAATATGAGCCGTTTGTTTTGGGGGTGCGGTGGGAAGGAGGGTATCTCAGGCTTTTAAGAGGGTGGAGAGAGGAGAGCATCCATCAGTGTCAAAATTAGGTATTATCAAACTATATTGCCCCAAGACCAGCTCCGGTGCCCCCCCCCCCTTTTCTACATAAAGTGAAAGATTTATTCCTGTTGTGACGTCATTTGCGTTTGGGTTGGGGGGGGGGCAACTATCAGGGCCAAAATTAGGCAAAATGTCTTCCAGAGTCCCAGTGCCAGTCTCGTTCTACATAAACTGAAATTATTCCTGGGGGTCCCTAGGCCCCTGCTTAGTCAAGGCCTGGAATCTGTATAGTTCAACGATACATAGTAAATTAAATGAAAATAGTATGTTTGTCAGTTAAAATTACGAAGAACAATTTAAAATCCAATGACCAGTTAATTTTCTTTGTGTATAAAAAGGTGCCGGCACTCTAACTTTGATCGGTGGAAGAGCAGTCGAGGACGCCAAGTGATACTGGGGGAAGGATCTGATGAGGGAGCTCATTTTGTCCCGGGAGGGAGGATCTGATGAGGGAGCTCAGTTTGTCCCGGGAGGGAGGATCTGATGAGGGAGCTCAGTTTGTCCCGGGAGGGACGACCTGATGAGGGAGCTCATTTTGTCCCGGGAGGGACGATCTGATGAGGGAGCTCAGTTTGTCCCGGGAGGGACGATCTGATGAGGGAGCTCAGTTTGTCCCGGGAGGGACGACCTGATGAGGGAGCTCAGTTTGTCCCGGGAGGGACGATCTGATGAGGGAGCTCAGTTTGTCCCGGGAGGGACGACCGGATGAGGAAGCTCAGTTTGTCCCGGGAGGGACGACCTGATGAGGGAGCTCAGTTTGTCCCGGGAGAGACGAACAGATGAGGGAGCTCAGTTTGTCCCTGACCAGAATTTAAAAAAAATTATTTTAAAAGATAAATTAGAAATTCAACGATGTATTTTGAACACGAATTTAGTTTTGCATCATTCTACACTTGATTGGAGAGCAACATAAAAGATGTTGGGAAATATAGTTAGCCTTTGATCTGGTTGTGTTTATACAAATCCTTAATTTTGATTTGTTACTAAATAGTGGATACTAACAAAAGAAACGCACAAAAAATGTATTTACTAATTTCTTTAAAATATGTTTATGATAGTTGAATTTTACAAAATTCAGTTTAAAGGAAAATTAATTAGAATTTATGAGAAAATCGAAAAACTTGTTTTTTTTGTTTTTTGTTTTCAACTTCCTAAAATTGATACTAATCTAGACATGCTTAATTTTAAATAAATGCTCTCAAATAGATCGAGCAAATCATCTATTATTCCGAAATTAAAAAGAGAAAAGTAGTTCGGATATTAATATAGGCCACGTACACTGTATATGCATTTAAAATGTCTTTTTTACTGATCTGTCATTATTGAAACTATGTCACACGATGGACAAACTTAAACTTAAATAAAACCCAAACCACTTCAGTTTGACCACAATTGTTCAAACACGTACGATGCAGTCATATTTTTTAACTAGCGAGAACCCGGCATGCTTTGCAATCCCACTCAAATAACAAAAAGTGTTTGTGTTTTAATTACGTTTTTAAAGTGATTTTTAAATAGAAAATATTTTTTTTTTTTTCCGTCTTATGCGTACACAAATAAATAAGAAGGTTTTTCGAAGCGTGAACAGGCAAAATACAACTTTTCACGTGAGAAACATGGGTTTTTAAAAATTTAGTCCACACAATTGTAGCGATTGGTCCATCCATTCAGTGGCCCTCTGTTTAAAAGTATATTTATATAGGTCACATAAAATAGAATAAGGCCCCCGGCCCAAAAACGCAAAATTGAAAAATGGTTGTACTATCAAAAACCTACGTATTATGTCACACACAAACTGAAATGTCGCTATTATGTCATACACAAACTGAAATGTCGCTATTATGTCACACACAAACTGAAATGTCGCTATTATGTCACACACAAACTGAAATGTCGCTTGTATTTGATTCTATTCCATCCACCCCCGCAATAAATTATATTTATTTAGTTCATATAAGAAAAAAGATAATTAAGGGCACAGGTATATTTTAAAATGGAAAACATACTTCAGAAACCTTTGCGGACGGGCGCTCCACAAGTTACCAAAGTTGTATCGCCCCGGGCCCAAAACAGATTATTGTCAAACGTGTGTAACAATTGAGACATCTTTTCGGGCGTGTGTACATCAAATCACAAAATTTTATCGCAGTCGGGTGGATGGTATAGGAGCACATACGGAACATACAAACAAAGTTTAATTTTTATATAGGTATAGACAAAGTTTACCGAACAAAAAATAAATTTTGCGCAATTATTCATGAAAGCGTTCTGTCTGTCATTCCATCTATCCGTCCGTCCGTCTGTCCGTCTGTCTGTATTTCTCTCTTTCTGTCTATCTATCTGTCTATCTATCTGTTATCCATCAATCCATCCATCCATCGATCCATCTATCTATCCATCTATCTATCCATATATCTATCCATCCATCCATCTATCTATCCATCCATCTATCTATCCATCCATATATCTATCCATCCATCCATCTATCCATCCATCCATCCGTCCATCCATCCGTCTGTCGGTCGGTCGGTCGGTTGGTCTGTCTGTCCGTCCGTCCGTCCGTCCGTCCGTCCGTCCATCCATCCATCCATCCATCCATCCATCCATCCATCCATCCATCCATCCATCCATCCATCCATCCATCCATCCATCCATCCATCCATCCATCCATCTATCCATCTATCCGTATATCTGTCTATCTGTCTATCTGTCTGTCTGTCTGTCTGTCTGTCTGTCTATCTATCTGTCTATCTATCTGTTATCCATCAATCCATCCATCCATCGATCCATCTATCTATCCATCCATCCATCTATCTATCCATCCATATATCTATCTATCCATCCATATATCTATCCATCCATCTATCTATCCATCCATCCATTCATCCATCCATCAATCTATCCATCTATCCATCTATCCATCTATCCATCCATCCATCCGTCTGTCGGTCGGTCGGTCGGTTGGTCTGTCTGTCTGTCCGTCCGTCCGTCCATCCATCCATCCATCCATCCGTCCATCCGTCCATCCGTCCATCCGTCCATCCGTCCGTCAGTCCGTCCGTCCATCCATCCGTCCGTCCATCCGTCCGTCCATCCATCCGTCCGTCCATCCGTCCGTCCGTCCATCCGTCCGTCCGTCCATCCGTCCGTCCGTC